CGGAATTTTGTTGTTTGTGTTCTTTATCTGTGTGTCCCAGGGCGCCTTCAAACTTTCCACGGCCCCCGGAGGCCGGGATGGGAGGAAGTCCGGGGAGGCGCGAAGCAATCGCGAAGAAGGAACGGCTGCAGAAACATAATTTCTCGACGCTGGACGGTCCAGCGTCGAGAATTTCTGTTTACAGTCGGGGCCCTGAAGAAGGAATCCTTTTCGTTGGGGAGGGGCTCAGTGTTCCTTGATTGTTCTGCAGTTTGCCTTTTGTTTTCCTGAGGTTTTCCATGGGACATCGAAGCTCAACTTATCGGAGGAAGGGGCCCCGTTCCTTATTTAGGGTTCCTTAGGTCAACGCCCCGACTGTATGCAGCTGTTCCTTCTTCGAGAACTCCTCGACGCTGGACCGGTCCGGCGCCTCGACGCTGGACGGTCCGGCGTCGAGGCGCCGCCAGGGGGGTCCAGCCTGGGCCCCCCCTGGCGGCGCCTCGAGCGCCGCCCCTGGCGCGCCAGGGAGGGGGGGGCCCAGCGCAGATCCAGGAGCTCCGCGCGGAGCGTCGAAAGAACACTGTGGGAAGAAACACACTGTGGGGAAAAACACACACAACACACACACACAACAACAACAACAACAACAACAACAACAACAACAACAACAACAACAACAACAACAACAACAACAACAACAACAACAACAACAACAATTACTAGCACGTGGGGACACTCCGTTCTCACCAGTGCCAGGGTTTTCATAGGAGGCGGGCAATACCCCCACTTTGTGGGGGGGCCGGTTCAAGCTCTACCAAATTTCCAAACGACTCTTCGCCACCACCCACACCCAGCTTCCCGCCCTATGACGTTCGGACACTTCACTTCGTGGCATGCGGACGACCGTGGCTACTATTCAGGGCCCCGCGGCCGACGACGACGGCGTGCGCGCGCGAAGAAAAAACGAATGTGTCCCACATGGTATTATTTGACAGGGATGATGGCCCTGGCAGGCGCGCAACCTTTGTTGCAGAAGTTCGAAGCACGTGAAAAAGTTGCTCGCAAGAGCCCGTTTGACAGAAATGTTGAAAAAGTACTGGGTTTCCTAAGAAATCCGCAAGAGCGCGCGGGGTGAATTTTTGAAACCCTTTTTTTGAAAAACCATTGGGTTTTCATGTTTTTATGTGAAAATCGTTACGAAGACTAAGGTTTTGGAAGGATTTCGTCTTGCGCGCGCGAATGTGCACTTCGTGTCATTTTTTGCAAGGGATTCTTGAAGTTTGGTCATGTTAGAACAAGAAATGTCCACTTTGCTTTTTTTTTTTTGCAAGGGAAAACCGATCGTAACAACACAACCGGATCTGGACCAACCCGTGTTGCCTGAGACTTCCTCACGAAAATGATGAAAATGTGGCTGCGGCCTAGGCGCGGCGGGGGGGGCGTGCACCAGGGGGCCCAACAATAATTATTCTTTAGAAGTAATAATATTCAACAACAACAACAACAACAACAACAACAACAACAACAACAACAATCACTTCACCCGAACGCTCAGTGTTCTCACCAGTGCCAGGGTTTTCATGCGACGCCAGCCAATACCCCCACTTTGTGGGGGGGCAGTGCAAGCTCTACCAAATATCCACACGACTCTTCGCCACCACCCACACCCAGCTTCCCGCCCTATGACGTTCGGACACTTCACTTCGTGGCCTGCGGACGACCGTGGCTACTACACTGGCGTGGAGTACACACCCACAGAAGTTGTTAAGCCTACGTTCGTACACCCACAGAAGTTGTTAAGCCTTGTTAACCCACAGAAGTTGTTAAGCCTTCCACAGAACATCTGTTGCATATGATGCATATGGTACATGATACACATGATACACATGATACGTACTCACAAGATAGTTGATCACATCTTTAGGGCAAATTCCTGAGGGATGTGGGAATACACAAGAGAGAGAGGATATGGTTGTCCCGATGGTTGTCTCGATGGTTTTATGATGCGCGGTGCTAAAATTCTTAAGAAGCCCAATGGTTTTTGGAGATTTCGGCGTGCGCGCGCGAAGAAAAAACGAATGTGTCCCGCATGGTATTATTTGACAGGGATGATGGCCCTGGCAGGTGCGCAACCGTTGTCGCAGAAGTTCGAAAAAGTTGCTCGCAAAAGCCCGTTTGACAGAAATGTTGAAAAAGAGTTGGGTTTCCTACGAATCCGCAAGAGCGCGCGGGATGAGATTTTGACATTTTTTTGTTGAAAAACCATTGGTTTTTTGATGTTTTTATGTTGAAATCGCTCCGAACACTAAGCTTTTGGAAGGATTTCGTCTTGCACGCGCGAATGTCCACTTTACCTTATTTTTTGCAAGGGATTCTTGAAATTTGATTACATTTGAACAAGAAATTTCATTTTATAGTGTTTTTTGCAAGGGAAAGCGGGGGGGAACAAAACAACCGGATCTGGATGACATCGTTTTACCTGAGGCTTCCTCACGAAAATGATGAAAATGTAGCTGCGGCCTAGGCGCGGCGGGGGGGGCGTGCACCAGGGGGCCCAACAATAATTATTCTTTAGAATTAATAATGTTCAACAACAACAACAACAACAACAACAACAACAACAACAACAACAACAACAAAAACAAAAACAAAAACAAAAACAACAACAAAAACAACACACAAAAGTCTGTGTGTGTTTTCCCACCGTCTGTGTGCTTTTTCCCACAGGGGGGGCCAGCGCAGATCCAGGAACTCTGCGCGGACCGTCGAGAGTTTCTGGTTGTGGGATTCGCGTTTGTCCTCCAGGATCGAGCGGTCGTTTTCTTATTCCTTATCTTGCCGATCGGCGCGAGGCCTCGCACCCCCCCCCTCCCGCCCCCGCGGAGCAGATTTGGGCTGCTTTGGGCTCCTGCTTCGAGCCGGTGGGGTCTCCCCCATAGGACGCACTGCTGCAAGCAGTCGCACGAGGCCGAGGTCCAGAGCCAGACCCCCCCTTTCCGCCCAGTGTCGAAACACCGAATGAGAACACTCTCACCAATCCGCCAGATGTCTGGGTACTTCCGACGTTGTCCGCCCAGATGCGGGCCTCCACGAGGGCGTCGATCCTCTCAAGAAGACCCGTCCCCCTCCCTCGCCGCCCCCCTCGTGCGCACCGCTGGTCCGTGTGGCTGAGGTGAGTCAGAAAAGCGCGCCTCATCCTGATGCCCTTAATTACCTGCTGATCCTTCTCCTCCCCCTCCCCCTCCTCCTCCTCCTCCTCTTCCTCGTTCTCCTCCTCCTCATCCATCCTTCTTCCCTCATCATCATCATCATCATCATCACCCTCGTCGTCGTTTTGATCCTACTGCTGATGCTCCCCCTGCTGCTGCTGTTTTTCCTCCCTTTCCTTCTGCTCCGCCATCCCCTTCCCTCATCCTCACCCTCGTCGTCCTCCTCCTCGTCCTCCTCTTCCTCCTGCTACTGCTCCTCCTCCTCGTCCTCATCCGTCCTCTTCCTTCATCATCACCCTCGTCGTCGTCCTCATCCTCCTCCTCCTGCTACTGTTCCTCCTCCTCCAGCTGCTGTACATTCTCTTCTTCCTTCTCCTCCTCCACCCTTTCCCCTCATCATCACCCTCGTCGTCGTCCTCCTCCTCTTCCTCCTTCGTGTCCTCATCCATCCTCTTCTCTCATCATCACCCGTGTCGTCGTCTTTACGGTCCTACGTGCGACGCAGACAGAAAAAAACAGGTTCGATGGCGCCGACATCCGCGCGTAAGCTGGCCGCGTGAGGTCGCGCGTAAGCGCCCCTTCTCCAGGAGGGCGTGCCGCGCTGGCGGCCAGCGCAAGCCGCGGCGTAAGGTCGCCACGTTCCCTCGCGTGAGACCTGTTTCTTTTCGTCGCTCATATGGGGCACCGTCGTCGGCTCTGGGCGACCCCCACAGGCTTATCTACTATTGCTGTAGGCGGTATGTGCTCGCAGTCGGTGATGCCAAGCGCCGGTGCCACTCGCTCGCCGTTCCATCGGGTCTGGAGTGGGACACTGCAAGGGGGTCCTCCCAGCAGAAGTTTTTATGCTGCGTTGTTAAAGCCTGGTGCTCGGGGCCAGAAGTTCATCTCGAGCTGCGCGACCGGGAGATTGGCTGGTGCTGCTTCGATGATTCGGGGGCCTTTGTCTGGGGATCCCCCAGACGCGCGGTTCTCGCGAGGGTATTGCGAGTCGCTCGTGAGATCGGGAATCTCCGCCTCAAGCCCATCGTATGCTTCTGTGTGCATCTATGGGACCATTTCTCTCCTAGCGTAGCGGCAATGGCCTGCAGCTGCTTCAAGAAGCGTTGCCCCCCACCTCACATGCATCGGTTCTGAGTTGGGGCTGGTGTTTTCTCCTAGCGGGCACGCCCCCCTGCGTGGCTGGACCTGCAGGCTTCCGGTGGCCCTCCCATCCCTCCGATCCGAGCGATTATAATCTGGCGGCGCGGATGCGCGCGGCTTTGGAGACGGTTAGTGTCTGGCCGAAGATATGTGCGCGCCTCCTTGCAGAGGCAGAGGACGGCATGGCGGTTACTCATTTCATCACGCGCGATGGGGGAAGAAGATTTTGGCCGACGTTCTGGAATGAGCCTACGCTCGCTTGGTCGCTCCGCCTGGCGGCGCAGACGTTTCCCCCATTCATCCGCCCTCGGGAGGGCCCTGCGGCTTGCTGCGTGCTGGAGCCTCATCAGATGCGAGCGAAGAGCGGCAGCTTCGACCGGCCCTCTGCTGCCCCGCAGCAGGACGCAGCGGACCCGTCAGCGCGGCATCATCCCTGATGTTGTGGAGGACGACCAATGGAGAGGAAGCATGATGCCAAATAATTTCCAGATGCCTAAAACATGCGTTAAACAATTTTGAACATGCAAAAACATTGTTTAACCATGTTTAGAACATGTTTCAAACATTTTGAACACATGTTTAACTCAACGCTACGACTGTTAGGGTGTCCATTGTCATGGCATCCACAACCCTAATGTGTACCTCCCCGAAGGCGCCCTCCCCGGCGTCACCATGACGCGGCTTGGCTGTTCGTTCAACTTGGGGGTGGGAGAGCCGCTGCGCGTGGTTGTGGCGGATGGTCGGGAGATGCTCAGCATGTCCCCCCGTCGTGGAGGATGGCGGCCATTCGCACCTGGTCGGGCGGGTGGGTGTGCGGCACTCGTCTTCAGCGGAACGAAGAATGACATAAATATAAAAACTCGGAGGTCCGCGCGGATTTCTCGGATCCGCGCTGGACCCCCCTCCCTGGCGCCGGAGGCGCCGCCAGGGGGCCCAGCTCTCGGATCCGCGCGGACCTCCGAGTTTTTATGTTTATGTCACTCTTCGTTCCCCTACTCTTCGCAATCCCGATCCCCGATGCACCATGGGCTGTGATGCCCCCAGGCTCTCTCGCTCGCCACGATGGGTGCCTTGGATGCCGCTCCTGGGCGGCCCTGGGCTGCTGGCACGGCCGCTGCCGTCCTCGATGCTCCAATTGTTGGCCCTCTGTCCTTGCTCTAGTCGGGCATGTCCCTCTACAGGAGGAATGCTCAAACATAGTCCAAAAATAGTCAGGGGACGATGTTTCGATTACTTTTGAATATCTTGGGGTATTTTTTGAGTATGTTTTGGCATTCGTCCAAAATCCGCCTATAGGAGGACATGCCCGACCTAATCCTTGCTCCCTTCCTCACCTTCGGTCCGTCGCTATCCTTTCTCACTTCCATCGCCTCCTCATCCACAACACACCGAGAGGGTCAACTATGAGCATCGCATGACCGACCCCTATCCCCACTGACGTGGCCTGGGCCCTATTGGCCGATTTACCCCTTAGATGGGCATCTAGGCTGTTCGCTTAGAGTTTCGAGGGATATATCCCCAGCTGAGGTGGCAGGATGGTGGGGATCGGGATGGGGATGAGGATAGGGATCGGTTAAACGATACTGAAGTTAGGCGGATGGGTGCCCTCGGACTCCGAGGCGGTGGATCTCGCCCGCGCTGCGCGTCTCGCCGCTGACCTCCCGCACAGTGCGAGGGCGCGTCAATTTCTGTGGATGGAGCTTTCTTGGAGACGCTCGGCCTCCTCCTCCATCCTCCCCCTCGTCGTTCCCCGAAGAAGAAAAACTACCCTGGCGAAGGACCCACCCATATGCAGTTGTGAGTGCCGTCGTTGCGGGTATCGCCTTCGGGGTATCTCCGCATGGGGTTATGAACCATGCGAGAGGTGTGCCGATGTGCGGCGGGGCCGCCATGTGGGCGCTGCCACTGGTGCTTTTTGCGGAGCGCACTACGGGGACGCGAAATGTGTGAGGGGTACGCCGCAATGGGGCGGGGCCGCCACGGGTGCCTTCGGTGGAGCTCCCTATGGGGCCACGCAGCGCTGTACTGGGTGGGGGTGACGCATGCAGGCGGTGCCACTGGGGCCTTCGGTGGAGCTCCCTATGGGGCCACGAAGCGCTGTACTGGGAGGCGCTGACGCATGCGGGCGGTGCCACTGTGGCCTTCGGCGGAGCTCATTAGAGGGCCACGAAACGCTGCCCTGGGGGTGACGCATGCGGGCGGCCCTATGGGGCCACGAAGCGCTGTACTGGGAGGCGCTGACGCAAGCGGGCGGTGCCACTGGCGCCTTTCGGCGGAGCTCTCTACGAGGCCACGAAGCGCTGCACTCGGTGGGGGTGACGCATGCGGGCGATGCTACTGGCGCCTTCGGTGGAGCTCCCTATGGGGCCACGAAGCGCTGTACTGGGAGGCGCTGACGCATGCGGGCGGTGCCACTGTGGCCTTCGGTGGAGCTCACTATAGGGCCACGAAACGCTGCCCTGGGGGGGGGGCGGCCGCATGCGGGCGGTGCCATTGGGGCCTTCGGTGGGACTCCCTATGGGGCCGCACCGCGATGTATTGGGTGGTGGTGACGCATGCGGGTATTGCCACTGCGGAGCTTCCTATGGGGCCACGCAACGCTGTAATCGGTGGGGGTGGCGCAAGCGGGCGGTGCCACAGGGGCCTTTCGGTGGAGCTCGACATGTTGTATTGGGCGGGGGTGACGCATGCGAGCAGTGCCACTGGGGCCTTCAGTGGAGCTCCCTATGGAGCCACGAAGCGCTGTACTGGGTGGCATTGACGCATGCGGGTGGTGCCACTGGGGTCTTCGGTGTAGTTCCCTACGGGGCCACGAAACGCTGCCCTGGGGGGGGGGAACGCATGCGGGCGGTGCCACTGGGGCCTTCGGTGGAGCTCCCTATGGGGCCACGAAGCGTTGTACTGGGAGGCGCTGACGCATGCGGGCGGTGCCACTGTGGCGCCTTCGGTGGAGCTCACTATAGGGCCACGAAACGCTGCCGGGGGGGGGGGGGGGGGGGACGCATGCGGGCGGTGCCACTGTGGCCTTCGGTGGAGCTCCCTATGGGGCCACGCAGCGCTGTACTCGGTGGGGGTGACGCACGCGGGCGGTGCCACTGGGGCCTTCGGTGGAGCTCCCTACGAGGCCACGAAACGCTATATTGGGTGGGGGTGACGCATGCGGGTGCGGTGGAGCTCCCTATGGGGCCACGCAACGCTGTATTGGGCGGGGGTGACGCATGCGGGCGGTGCCACTGCGGCCTTCCGGTGGAGCTCCCTGTGAGGCCACGAAGCGCTGTACGTGGGGGTGACGCATGCGGGCGGTGCCAGTGGCGCCTTCGGTGGAGCTTCCTATGAAGCCACGAAGCGTGTGAGGAGTGTGCCGAAATCGGTGTGGGTGACGCATGTGGGCGGTGCCACTGTGGCCTTCGGTGTAGTTCCCTACGGGGCCACGAAACGCTGTACTGTGTCGGGAAACTGTAGGGAGAAGGGAGGAGGGAGGAGGGGGAGGATGAAGAAGGAGGAGGAGAAGGAGGAGGAGTGGGACGCGGGCCGCTGTCTCTTCAAAACGAGGACCCAGCACCACAGGATGGTTGGGAACGAAGTAAAAACATAAATGTTCTACGGTCCGCGCTGATTTTTTGGATCTGCGTTGGACCCCCGTGAGGGCGCCTCCGGCGCCGCCCCGGGCGCGCTCCGCGCGCCAGGGAGGTGGGGCCGGCGCTGATCCGAAAACTCCGCGTGGATCTCCAAAAGTGCATATGTATGTGATGTGTTGTCCCTTTATCATTCCACCTCATCTTCCGCCGCCTCTGTGGGTGGGACTTCCAGCGATCCCCAGTTGTGTTCAGGCACTTCCATTTGTTTCCGCAAAGCTTCTGAGGTTTCTGGGTGCCTGCGGAGATTTCCAGAGGGGGAGCACAAAGGAGAAGGATGCGGAGAAGAGGGCAAGATGAGGAAGGGTAGGAGAGGAAGGTGGAGGTAAAGGGGGAGGTGCATGGGGGGTGGTAGGAGACCCTTCCTTTTTTCTTCTCCTCTTCCATATTCCCCTCACCCCTCATCCCTCTCCTCCTCCTCCTCCTCCTCCTCCTCCTCCTCCTCCGCCGCCTCCTTGTCCTCTTTCCTCGTCCACCTCCTCTTCATCCCAACCAATTTCCTCCTCCTCCTCCTCCTCCTCCTCCTCCTCCTCCTCCTCCTCCTCCTCCTCCTCCTCCTCCTCCTCCTCCTCCCCCTCCCCATCCGAGCTTGTGCCGAGGTCGGGGGGGGTCCCGCCCCAGAGCGCCAGGGGCCATGTCTTGTATATCTCTGGGGACGCCGTGGGCCGTAGTCAAATGAAGGGCGCTCTCGGCCAGAACGGCGCGCACTCAGCTCTTTTTGGGATTGCGACCCCGCGGCCGCCCTTTCGGGGAATCCGGGAGGGAGGGAGGGAGGGAGGGGGGGAGGGGGGAGGGAGGGGGGGGGAGGAGGAAGGGAGGGGGGGAGGAGGGAGGGAGGGAGGAGGGAGGGAGGGGAGGGAGGGAGGGAGGGAGGGAGGGATCCTTTTATGAGGGGCATCCGCTTGAAGTGTGACAAAGCCCCTCCCCCTCCCGTTCCCCCGCAGGCTCCTGGTCACGGACGATGTACTGTCCAGCGGCGGGCCCTGCTCTCCACATTGCTTACGAGCCCGCGAAGGTGTCACTCCATTGTCAAGCGTCTCTGCGAGCTCGTTTGGCTTTGAAGCGTCCTGGCCCTGATCCAGCGATTTAAGTCATATTCGTTTGTGCTCGAGCTGTGGCCCCCCACCGCCGCCAGCTGAAGACCTTTGGTGGAGAAGGGCCTTGGAGTCAAAAAACAACGAAACGTCCTGGAATTGTTTCGGCCCTCCCCCGAATCTGGACTTTGCGGGTGCTTGTTTTTCAGAACTGTGAGTCTCATCTTACCGCCGCGCACTCTCGTTTCTAACATTCGCAGGTGCCCCGAGCACAGTATATGACTACCACCACCAAGATCGATAATAATCTACGATACGATTTGGTGCAGTTCTGCTCTGGTGAACAGCCGGCAGTCCCCCTCCCGCCGCCAACGGCAACCGGGCTGCGCCCTCTCTCTCAAGGACCGAAACAGAATTCATCAAAGCACGCGCGATGGTGGTGAGCACAGTGTTGGTTCCCAAGAGGAGCGATTTTTATACACCACCACCAAGAAGTGCTGTTTCTGCTTCAGGAGCTCCCCATGCAACGGCGCCTGCGAGCTGCGCCGCGCTCCTTGTCGCCGTGGCGTCGCAGCGTCGTCTGGCATGACCCTACCCCTAACCCTTTTTGCGATAAACTACTGTTGCGGGCGGTGGTGGTATATAAAAAATTGGCCTCGTAGGTGCTTCACGGATTGAGGGCGGGTGGTTTTCAAAATGTGGTTCTCGCCTCTGCGCCGCGCACATTCGTCTTGAAACGTTGCAAGAGTTTCACGGATGAGTGGCGGGTGATTTTCAACATGTGGTTCTCGCGTTAGTGCGGCGCGCATCCGTTTAACAAAACGGATAGAACTTCACGGATTGATGGCGGTTCATTTTAAACGTATGGTTATCGCATTGGCGCCGCGCACAATTGTTTTACACAAGTGCAATAGTTTCGTCGATTGAAGGCAGTTCGTTTTCACGTGTGTTTTTTTGCGTTAGCGCCGCGCACATTCGTTTCAAGCGTTTCCAAGAGTTTCACGTAGTCCCATGGTAACATACCAGATATTATGTCTGGGAGCGATTTGGGAGCGCCCGGGCGCAACAGTTACGTTGATTCGCGGTGTTGAAGTCCCATGAGTGATTTTCTGGCACATCCCAGGATCGCCAAGACGCAACAGTCACGCTCATTCGTGGCGCTGGAGTCCGAGAGTGGAGTTTTCGCACGTTTCAGGGTTTTCAAAGAGTTGTCTCCCAACAGCATTTCCTTCTGTGGAAATCAATCCTTGCCGGAGTCTATGGCGAGGGCGCTTGGAGGGAGGGCTTAATCCAAGATCGTTGCCGAGTCTTCGTTGTACACGGGGCCTCCTCGTCCTCCTCATGTTCCTCCTCCTCTTCCTCCTCCCTCGTCCTCCTCCTCCGCTTCCTCCTCCCTCCTCTTCCTCCTCCTCCTCCTCCTCCTCCTCCTCCTCCTCCTCCTCCTCCTCCCTCCTCCTCCCTCCTGCTCCTGCTCCTCCTCCTCCTCCTCCCTCCTACTCCTCCGCCTCCTCCTCCTGCTCCTCCTCCTCCGCCGTATCCTCCTTCGTTCCTCTTCCTCCTCCCTCTTCTTCCTCCTCCCTCTTCCCCTCCTCCCTCCTCCCTCCTCCCTCCTCCTCCTCCTCCTCCTCCTCCCATACTCCTATCCTTATTCCTTATTAGAATATACTCCTACTCCCCCCTCAGGCCGGCAGATAGGGGCCACATCCGGGTGGTCCCATCCTAACCTGTAAAAAACAATACAAAATCAACATTTTTCTTATTTTTTCCTCTCGACATGGACGTCCTGTCGTCCACGGCGATAATCCATTGCAAAAAATACCACAAAGAGCACACGCGCGCGTTCATGTCAGAATCCTACCGAACACCGTGTGTTTGCAAGCATTTCAACATAAAAACATCAAAAACCCAATGCTTTTTCACAAAAAACTACAAATTTCCCGCCCGGGCTCTCTTGCTGAAATCATAGGAAAACCATAGGAATCTTAAGAATTCGGTCAAATCCAGCGATTTCACGTCATCGCGCGGTGCACTCGCGATGCTCTGTCATGCACCCAGGCCGCGAATCCTGTGCAAAAAATACCACGCGGGCGACATGCGCGCGCGTCGCCGCGAGCGCATGCTCAAATCCTTCTAGAGTCGTCGCCGTCATTGGCACCGTCGCATGGACGTCCTGTCGTCCACGTCGCAAAATGCATGGCAGGAATGGGACGCGGCGCACACCCCGCGCCCGCCCATCCAATCCGTCCCATTCTAATATGCAAAAGACAATACACAGTTTTGTTTTTCTTGTCAACATGGTCGTGCTGTCGTCACGTCGCAAAATGCGTGGCAGGAATGGGACGCGGCGCACACCCCGCGCGAAGGGGTGACATGGTACTACTACTACCACTACCACTACCAACACCACTACCACTGGTACTACTACTCCTGCCTCTTGGGGCCTCCTGGGCCCCCTTGGGGTGTCCTGTCAGACCGTCGGGCTTCCTCCGGCCACCTCTGGCTTCCTGCGGTGTACCGGGCCATTCTCGACTCGTCTGGCAATGCGTGCGCGGCATTCAACACGCGCTCGCCAGTTCCCGTCGGCAACCGCCATCGCGGCCGCATCAGCTGTACCAAACCGGCTGGCCGGTGTGACTTCGGCCCCCAGTTGTGCCAGCTTTGCTTCTTATGTTGTGGGAGGGCGGGTGGGACTGGGCATGCCATGCTTGACTCGCTCGAGCTGGCTAGCTTGACTCCTACTCCTACTCCTACTCCTACTCCTACTCCTACTCCTACTCCTATCCTTATTCCTTATTAGAATATACTCCTACTCCCCCCTCAGGCCGGCAGATAGGGGCCGCATCCGGGTGGTCCCATCCTAACCTGTAAAAAACAATACAAAATCAACATTTTTCTTATTTTTTCCTCTCGACATGGACGTCCTGTCGTCCACGGCGATAATCCATTGCAAAAAATACCACAAAGAGCACACGCGCGCGTTCATGTCAGAATCCTACCGAACACCGTGTGTTTGCAAGCATTTCAACATAAAAACATCAAAAACCCAATGCTTTTTCACAAAAATTGTACAAATTTCCCGCCCGGGCTCTCTTGCTGAAATCATAGGAAAACCATAGGAATCTTAAGAATTCGGTCAAATCCAGCGATTTCACGTCATCGCGCGGTGCACTCGCGATGCTCTGTCATGCACCCAGGCCGCGAATCCTGTGCAAAAAATACCACAAAGAGCACACTCGCGCGTTCATGTCAGAATCCTACCGAACACCGTGTGTTTGCAAGCATTTCAACATAAAAACATCAAAAACCCAATGCTTTTTCACAAAAATGCTTTGGGGTGTCCTGTCAGACCGTCGGGCTTCCTCCGGCCACCTCTGGCTTCCTGCGGTGTACCGGGCCATTCTCGACTCGTCTGGCAATGCGTGCGCGGCATTCAACACGCGCTCGCCAGTTCCCGTCGGCAACCGCCATCGCGGCCGCATCAGCTGTACCAAACCGGCTGGCCGGTGTGACTTCGGCCCCCAGTTGTGCCAGCTTTGCTTCTTATGTTGTGGGAGGGCGGGTGGGAGTGGGCATGCCATGCTTGACTCGCTCGAGCTGGCTAGCTTGACTCCTACTCCTACTCCTACTCCTATTCCTACTCCTCCTACTCCTCCTACTCCTCCTACTCCTCCTACTCCTCCTACTCCTCCTACTCCTCCTACTCCTGCCCCCCTACACGGGAGGCCCCGCGCGCGCGCCCAGGAGTCGAAGCGCCCAGAGCCAGGCTCGAGGATCGACGTCTGGGAGGCGCCTGGGGAGGATAGGAAGGCCAGCCGCGGAGACCCTTCCCCCTTCCTCCGTCCCCCATCCCCCTCCCTCCGCCCTCGTCCTCATCGTTCGTCATCCTCCATCCCTTCCTCTCCTCCTCCTCTTCCCCTCCTCCTCCTCCTCCTCCTCCTTCTCCTCCTCCTCCTCCTCCTCCTCCTCCTCCTCCTCCTCTTCCTCCTCCTCCTCCTCCACCTCCGCCGCCGCCGCCGCCGCATCCTCCTCCGTTCCCCTCCTCCTCCCTCCTCCGTCTTCCTTCCTCCTCTTCCCCCGCCCTCCTCCTCCTCTTCATCCGCCTCCTCTTCCTCCTCCCCCTCTTCCTCCTCATCCTCCTCCGTCGTCCTCCTCCTCCGTCCTCCGTCCTCCCTCCTCATCCTCCTCGTCATGCTGTGGAGGAGCTCGCATCGCCAAAGGACCACATGAATTGGGATGATCTGCCGAGACTTGTTCATAGATGTTTACATGGAGGACCTCGGTTGGTCCCACCAGCCTGCGTCAAAGGGTCTTGGGGTCGTTCCCGCGTCCTGGCCTGCCTGCTCCGTGTTCTTTCTTTTCTGTCTGTGGCAGGTATGTTGTGTTGGCCGTCGTGTTCGATTTCCTTTCATTTCGGGCGACGACGATGACGACGACGACGACGGTGATCCACGCAAGACGACGACACCGGGATGCGTCTTCCACACGCCGACAGGGTCGGCGGATTTTCTGTCTGTGACAGGTGTGTTGTTTTCGCCGTCGAGCCGGACCAGGGACGAGGTGGTCCGGCTGGCCAGACCTGATGGAGCGGCACGCGCCGGATCGTGCGTGTGGAGCCTTTGGTTTATGTTGTTCCCATCCTACTTAAGGACCGCATCGCAGAAATAATTTCGAGCACCCGGAGAAGTGTCAAAAGAGTGTCGAAGCAGTGTCGAAACGGTGTGTGGCGAGTGTCTCCCAGGGCGCGACACGTGAAAACCCTTGAGTTTCGGTACATTCTTGTGGCGCTCGAAATTCGATTCTGGTGATCAAGGCTAAATAAAGTAGGTTGGAGCATCTTAACCCTTGGTACGGCTTTAGGCCGGGGCTCACAGGCCTCTCTCCGCCGCGCGGGCAGTTGAGCACGGGAGCCCACACAGATTGGGCAGTGGGGGCGGTAGTTCCTAGAGTTTCTCTCGGCGCCTGACCACAACTTGCAGGCTGATATCTCCTGCTTGTGTTGGGGAAAGGTCGGTTACTGCTTTCCTGGAGATGTTGAAATGCGTTGAGACAGTTTTGTTGAAGCCCTTGGTTGAGGAGGCTAGGGTGACGAATCTCCCCATGAGACGTTGTGGATGTTGGTCAGTACCTACTCTCAGCCTCGAGTCATTCGAACACTTAGGTGTTGGAAGAAGTCTGCGGTCGCAAGGCAAGACAGTCTACCAGGGTGCACGCTACGACTCTCCCCACCATCCTCCCATACAGTGCTACCTCCAGAGTTAACCAGATGTGCACCAATGTGGACCCCAGAGCTCTTGTGGATGATTATACGTTGCAATGGGTTGGGCCCCGTGGGACCTCTGCGGTGGAGCCTTTTATTGGGGTTCAGAATTTTGTCAAGGATAACTATTGGCCAGGGCTCTTGTTGAAGGTCAATAAGTCTGGGAATGTAGCCACATCCGCATGTGCCGTGCCCGCAAATGCTTCGGAAGGTTCGCGAATTGGATCCAGCCCATGGCACAAAGTTGGCTTCGAATTCTTGGGCATGAAATGAGTGGTTGTGAGCCGGTGAGAAAGCAAGCCAAAGCTAGATTCAAGACGTTTGCAGAACGGCTACCCAGACCCGAGATGTTACGACGAGGGGCCAGTCAACGTGTCACGGTTCGTTAGCGCACAGGTTTGATGCCAGCAGCGGTTCACGGAGCCACCGCGGCAGGCGTCAATGGCCAAGAGTTGGATACCCCAAACAATACAAAAACAAAAAAACAAAAAAAATGGCCAGGAGTTGGATACCTTTCGACAGACGGCATATATATATATATATATATATATATATATTGACATTCCGCACGAGTGCGGCCTCATCTTTATGTTTGGTCTTTGCTACCCAGGTTGACGCCAAGTACGACCCCCTCGACAATGCTACGATTGATCCTCTCAGGGCCGATCCTTCGTTCATACGGGACCAGCGTAGTGGTCTCGGGAGGCCCCAAAGGGGTTGGGCAGCAGGTTCATCGAATCAAGGCGAGCTGGGCATCTGCAAGGGCTCCTATATCAGTTCTTGTTCTGCCGCTAGCAAGGATTGGCTGGGACATGCACTGCAGCAGTGGTCTAGGACATTTTGATGTCTTCCACGATCGGTCCTGGAGCTCGTTCGCTAAGGCATTGGGCGCTGACAGACCGCTAAGATCGTGAACCATCTCGAGGAGATATGCGCGGGAGGAGAGACCATGTGGACGACGATACTCAGGAAGTGCGTTGGAGGAATATCCGTGGCAGGTGCGACATACGAGGTTTGCTGGTGCGCTTCGAGCTCTTTGGTCAGGTCCTGTATGGCCGCGCGACCAATTCCGCCGTGCAGACGACCATATTTCCTCAGCATGCTGCTGGTACTCGGCCGACAAGGTCACCACTGCACACGAGTTCTACGAGCGTTCTGGTTGGATGGTGATGTCCCCGATGGTTCTGCCCTTACCTGGGATCCAGACTTAGAGCATGTGCGCACGGATCTTCGGGAGAAGCGACCCCCAGGGTTAGGACAAGAAGATTGGGACTACTTTGAGACCTCTGTGGGGGTGCCCATAAGCCCTGTAGTGCCTCCTTCTGTAGGCCACCACTGCACATGAGTTCTACGAGCGTTCTGGTTTGATGGTGATGTCCCCGATGGTTCTGCTCTTAACTGGGATCCAGACTTTGAGCATGTGCGCACGGATCTTCGGGAGAAGCGACCCCCAGGGTTGGGACAAGAAGCCGGCGGTCCTGCACACCCACCCCACTCGCGAAGCATGCGTCTCCGCGACGCAGTCCGTTGCTTTCATTCGATTCGTCGGAGGTTCCGACCTCAAGTCGGGCGTGTCCCCCTACAGGGAGATTTTCGGCGAAAAATAAAAAAACAAAAAATGCCCCCAAAAGGTCAGAAAATACCCCAAAAATAGTCCCCAGGCTATTTTTTTGATGATTCTTGGAGTATTTTGGGGTATCTTGTATTTTTCGTCGAAAATCCCCCTGTAGGGGAACAGGCCCGACTTAAGGTTACTCTCACCTGTGCAGCCACCACCTCCTCCTCCTCCTCCTCCTCCTCCTCCTCCTCCTCCTCCTCCTCCTCCACGTCCTCCTCCTCCTCCATCCTCCTCCTCCTCCTCTCCTCCTCCTCCTCCTCCTCCTCCTCCCTCCTCCTCCTCCTCCTCCACGTCCTCCTCCTCCTCCATCCTCCTCCTCCTCTCCTCCTCCTCTCTCCTCCTCCTCCTCCTCCTCCTCCTCCTCCTCCTCCAACCTCCTGCTCCTCCTCCTCCTCCTCCTCCCCCTCCTCCTCCTCCTCCATCCTCCTCCATCCTCCCCCTCCCCCCCCTCTGTGCAGCCACCTCCGGGACATGGCCCGACATAGTTCCAACCTCCGGGACACGGCCCGGCGGCAGTGCCGGCGGTCCTGCGCGCGTGCCCCACCTGCGAGGCAAACGCTTGCGGACACCGACGGGCGGTAGTACCACAGGTTTTGTCTCGAGGACATTAGCGCTAGGTCGGGTCTGTCCTCCTACAGGGGGATCTTCGACGAACAAAAAAACCCAAAGTAGCCAAATAATAGTCCAGAAATAGTCTGGGGATTATTTTTTGCGTATTGTTTGACCTTTTGGGGGTATTGTTCGGGTATGTTTTTTTTCGGTCGAACATCCCCCTGTAGAGGGACAGGCCCGAGTTAACATTAGCGCTACACTGCTGCACTGCAATCGCCCTCCCCTTCCCTAGAGCTTGCAGCTGTTGGCTAGAATGCCAATCTGACGCAGCAATTCCCCCGCCCCGTGATCCGTCGATTGGGGGGGGAAGGGGGGCGATCATGCCACTGATCATCCTGCATCCCTGGGTGGGTAGGTACAGGTACACCTACCCCACCTACGCGGCAAGTGTTTTCCAGGCACACCCTGGTGGCAGTACCAGCGGTCTTCGGTGCTCTCGACACGTCGGAGGGTCGGCCCTCTGGGACACGGCCCAGCGACAGTGCCGGCGGTCCTGCACACCAGCCCCCCCCCACGAGGCAGGCGCCTCTTGGCAGCGGCATGGCGGCAATGCCAGGGAACATGTTTTTTGTGTTGATTGAGTTCAGGAGGGGGAAAAGCACACAGACACAATGAATCGCCGAGTCCCCAGAAAATATAAGAAAACATGGGAAGTGGGGGGGAAGACAAAAACCCAGAAAATATGGGAAAATGTTGGGAATCCTGTTTATTTGTGTGTATTTCTTTGTGTCCTGGGGCCCCTTCATGAGTGTTTGGGCACGTCGGAGTTTCTGCCTTCCGGGACGCAGCCCGGCGGCAATGCCGGCGGTCCTGCACATCTGCCCCACCTGCGGGGCAGGCGCCTCCTGGAGTCAGACTGGCGGCAGTGCCAGCGGTCTTGTTTTCTTTCGACGTGTCGGCGTTTCTGCCCTCCGGGCGGGCCACGGCCTGGCGGAAATGCCGGCGGTCCCGCACACCTATCTTACCCACGAGGCATACGCCTTCTCGACACAGCTTGTTGTTCTCACCCTTGTGGCAGCCGCCCTCGAGGCATCGCAATACCTCCCCATCCTTTTCCCCCCCCACCTCGTGCCAATTTCTTGCGCAGCCATATAACTAGGCGCATCGGCAGTTTTCCATTGCTGTGGGCCTAGTTTTGACTTCGTTGGCTGCTTCAGCGACGCCACCAGAAAAACCATGCTACCATCGTCGCGGGCGTTTTGTAATATCGTGCTTGGTCTGTCCTACTCATCCATCGCCGTGGCTGCGGCCCAGCGCAGCACAAGCACCCCCCCCCCCTCAGCGGCGGCCAGTCCTGAGGCCCAATCTTGCTTCTATTCCGTCGCTTCGGGTGTCATTCGCAATTGTCTGCACCCCCATGGAAGGCTCCGACGCCGGCGTGCGGTCGGGTATGGGCAGCCTGCCAGGCGTGCCAGTCGCCTAGAGGGTCCAGTTCGGGATAGGGGGGGGCAACTTAGGACTGGAGGCACGACAGTTCCCAGTCTGGCCGTTGGTTCTCCATCGGCCACGCGGAGGGGGTCCACACCCCTTGCGTTGAAGTGCCAGCCGTCCGACTTCACCGCCTCCGCTTCTGCTGCTGCTGGGTTCTCCTCCGTACATGTGTCGTCCGAGGTGTCTTGCCCTCTAGCGAGCCTCCTGAGCAGCTTGAGGGCCTCTGGAGGTTGGATGGACAATGGCTCCCTCAAATGTGGTTGCACGAGAAGTCGGAATCGCATTCTCTATACTCTCAATATTGTGTTCACTGAGATAACGAGGCGAGTGCAGAGGCGCTCTCGCTCGCCGGTTCCGGTTCGGGAGTGGGCCATTTTCGCGCTCAGTGCGAACGGGCCTTGGGCCAAAGGTTATGGACAGTTTGTGTCCGCAGGCGGGGGTGGCGTGGCCACCACCTCCGCCTCGAGCAGCCCCCATTCTGGGTTTGAACTGGGCCCCAAAAGTTGCATGCCTGAGGTGATCCAGGAGGTGGCGTTGCCACCGCCTCATGGGCAGCACCGAGTCCGTGACACGATGCAGGATTGCATTGCATTGGACCATATCGTGTGCGACCTAATGCCCTGAAAGGCTGTCCTCTCAAGCTCGCCGTGGCAACCAACTTACGCTTTAAACCGGCGTACCGGCCCATCCGCTATCGTTTGGCTGGTTTTGCTGGGGTCCCTGAAGCACCGAGCTACCCAAAATCCAACCCTCTGTGGCACTCTAAATGGTCGCTGGCCGAGGGCCGACGACCTGAAAATCTAATACACATCGATTGCCACAAGGCTCCTCCACCGACCCGCCGGTGTCACCCTCGGGAGGTGGACACCTACGCCTCGGACATATTCCGCACAAGCTCCGCCGGCATCCCATGAGGACCGAAGTGCAGGAAACGTTTTCGGGCCACTTGAAGTCCGAGCTATGTTTGCACCCCCCGTGGGATTGACAAATCGTGCCCCCCATGGGAACACACATTGGTGTTTGAAGTCGGTTTGGTGCATACTGTCGGCACCAATGTTGACACAACATGTGGCTGATGTACACACGTTGCTGTCACACATCATGCTTGTGTTCATCATTCGCCGTCCCCTCATGATGGGACGGCTGGCCCACATGAGTTGGCCCCCTCGGTCACGGTGCTACGAGGCAGAGATGGCTGCCACAGGATATGCGCCACACGCATCGCCGACCATTGCCAGGTGCCAGCATCGAGCACCTATTTCAAGGGTGGGAGAGCCCAAGTGCCCCATCCGATTCACAAGAGTTATGCCTACCCTTAAGGGCATCAGCACTACACTGCAATCCTCCTCCTCCTTCCTCATCTTCCTTCTTCTCTTCCTCCGTCCTCATTATCCTCCTCGCTCCTCCTCAAAATATTTGTTCCATTATGTAGAAGGCAGGCTGCTTCAGCTGCAGCTGGCAGGCTCCCAGGCCGGTGTTTCAGGACACTCTTGGAAACAGTTTGTGGCATCACGGACCCTGGGGTAGAGGTTCGACGTCAGTTGGCGTCGGAGTATTTGGATTGTGGGCAGAACCACCCGCAACATCATTCGAGCGCAGAGAAGTTGGGCCAAATCTCTGAGCAGGCTGCAGCAAAAGGGCGCGATTAACTGGCGCAAGGTCGAGGGCACAGATGCAGCTGTCCAGGCCACTCTTTTGGATGCAGGCTGTGACCCCCAGAGTGCTGTGGTTCAGTAGCGTCGCGTGCTCTCAGGTGTTGTGGAGAACTGGTTTATCCCAGCCTCCACCTCAACCGATTTTGATGTGTCCGAGTTGCTTGGGGATCGCAGAGAGGACTTCGTAGCGCTGCTTTGGGGTAAGGCGGCTCAGCACGAAGCGGGCTCGGACCTTTTACAGAAGGGGGCGATTTGCACCTGGTGCGTGGCGATTTGGCGCGTGTTTCCCACAAATGGTTTGTCTGCACGAACGCAATGGGCACGGAAAGAATGGGTACAATGCGCAACTGCGGATCTTGTTCTTTTGAACAGGACTCGCTGTCCACGCCGCCACGGCCTTTGTCCATTCGAGACAGAAGGCCGCCTGCCCAACAGCGGCCGCTGTTGGTTTGGGACAACATTTGTTGTTGGGCATTGTACCCATTCTTTCCGTACCCATTTCGGGCGTCCAAAGTTTGCATTGTGAGCAAGCACGGCCTTGACTTTGCGTGGTAGGAGGAGCTCCATGTCCCCGTGTCCGCCAGTTTCCGATTGGAACCTCCGGGCAACAGTCGGTGGTTCAAATATGGGGTCTTGAGGGATGGGGTCTTGAGGACGAGGTGCCTGAAACAATGCAAATCCACCCTTGGACCCCTTCCTATCCTTAGGACCTTATCCCTCAGGACCCGTCTTCGAACGACCGAAACAGCGCAAAAACATGCGGCATGGCTGTCCGTGGTGAAGGCGCCTACCTTATCCTACGCTGTTTGGCGCGGCAGCGGCGGCGGCAGCGGCGGCAGCAGCGGCGGCGGCAGCGGCGGCAGCGGCATCGGCGGCGGCGGCACCGGCGCCGGCACCAACAGCGGCGGCGGCAGCGGCGGGCCAGGATTCATGGCAACGGGGACGGGATGGGCAGGAGAGATATGATGTCGGATGTGTGTTGCGGCGCGCGCAGGGAGCAGGGAGAGGGGGGAAGGCGTCTTAGAAGCACCTTGCTTCTCAGAAGGCGCGGGCTTTGTCTGTACATGTAAGGCCCGCGCCTTCTGATAAGCAGCCTCCTCCTAAGAAGCTTCCCCCCTTCTCCCTACCCAATTTTGCGCGCCGCCAAATGTGACGCGAACGCACCTACCTTGTCCTACGCTGCTTGGAAGGAAGCTCCACTAAGAAACCGTCTTGGCGAAGCCGGGAGTCTATCCTAAGAAGCCCCCTGCCTTCGCAGAGGCTTCCTGCTTTCTTGGAAAGCGGACCCCAGTCGCGCCAATTCCCTTAGGCGCGCCAGCAGCCGACGAAGTCTTGGAGCGTCGGGCGCGCTAGCCCCGGGCGAGAGGATGCCAGGAGTGATCCAGACCCAATGTGCTCCCAGCTTCCCGCGCCACTGGAACCCCCGAGGCCCTCTAGGCCTCTGCGAGAGGCGCCAGTGCGGCAGTTGCGGCGGCGGCGGCGGCCGACCAGAGCGGCGGCGGCAGCGAGCGGCGGCAGCTGCTCGCGACAGCGGCGGCAGCGGCGGCAGCAGCGGCAGCAGCGTGCGGCGGCGGCGGCAGTACCAGCAGCGGCAACGGCGGCAGCGGCGGTCGGCGGCGGCAGCTGTCGGCAGCAGCGGAATGGGCTAGCGGCGGCAGCGGCAACAGCGGCGGCGGCAGCCGCCCGCCCCGTCGGCTGTCGGCCGTCGCCCGCCGCCTCGGAGCCGAGAGGTGGAGTACCCAGACGGCCCGCCGCAAGACCTCATCTTCGGCGGCGGCAAGGACCGCAGCGGGGCTGAAGCCGCCGCCGCCGCCGTCGTCGAGCGGGAGGAGGGGGGGAAAGCGGAAGCAGGATCAATTGTCTGACAGCATGTAGCCAGGCTGGCTAGGTCCTCGTCAAAGCGGCGCTTCAAGGTAACCACGACGCAATGACAAGTTACCCCGATGAGCAAAACAGGGCTGGCAACCAAACAATGTCAGACGGACATGCGCTGCCAGTGATGAGAATGTTTGGGGAAACGAACGCGGCCCTCCTGAGCGTCGTTAACTGCGAGAACAAGCATGAGGCTGACACAGCACGTGTAAAGAACCTCGTGGGGGAGTCGGAAAGGATACGTGACGAAAACGAAACACACATAGTGCCACTTCGAGCATGGAGGATACAGCGGGAACGAATATTGGCAGCGCCAGCCAAAGACCCACTAGCGAGTCAAAAGCCATCCAAGCATAGGATAATTTCAACGGCGACAAATTGCAACCGCAATTCCGCGAATGGAATGACAGACTATTGGATGCGTGGGCCCAGGTAAACAACGGTAGCTGCAAGGCCATCCAAGTGCGAAACACAAGGTTGGAGACAGTGGACGGTGCAGTTCCAGACCCAAGCGAGAAAGACGACAAATTTAGGATCATGAGTGATCGGAGGACGGTTGCCTAGTATCACGAAACAGTTGTTGAGAATATACGGAAAGAAGTTTTGCTGGACACGGAATACGCATTAAGTGAGAAAGCGCCGAAGCCCAGGGTAGATTTACACGGGCGCAAGGAAGGAGAAAGGTTGATCGCACACATGAATTTGTACACGTGGTTTCTGGTGGTAACGGGAGTAACCCTATCAGCCAGGATGAGCTCAACCATGAGCCAAGAAAGGCCCGAGAAGGAACGTGGCACCTCAGTGCTACTCGAGCAGCGAGGCGCATTGGTTGTGACCTCCTCCCTTGAGAGCTACGGCGCTTAAAATCATAATGGCGCACGATGGAGAATGGTTGGCAACAGGACTGGCTCAAAACTTACCATTCGTTATTCGATGGCGCCGATACGAAGCTGCACCTGCAATGCAAGGATTGGGTCAGATAGAAGCGTCTGGTTGCCGATGCAAAAAAACAGAGACGCAATGGACATCGGAGTAGTAGGCAAGGAGGAAGTGCGAAGTGAAGGAGGACAACGGCCAGGGATAGAACGAGGGCCAATGATAGCCCTAGCGTGACGTGGAATCCCGCAACAAAAGACCAGGGAAAGGCAAAGTAACATGCTACAAAGGAGGAGGAGCAGGACACATTGAGCGGGACTGCGAAGCCAAAGGTAAGGCAAGGACAGCCGCAAAGCCAAAGGGCGTAATACCTGATCGAAAGGATACACCAAGGGTGGACACTGTAGCTACAAGGGGGCAAGTAAACCAACGAACCAGCAAAGCGGGAAAGCCGGTGGGAAAGGCTACGCTCCCGTGAGCGAGGGCGAGTCTTAGAAACGCCAACAAAAGGGACACATCGCAGCCCACTGCCCCGCGGGCGCCAACGAGGCGGGGCAAGCCGGCGGAAACCAAAGCGCGCATAATTTGGACAACCGCCACCTCAGATGGACCCAGGGCGTTATGCGGCAATTCAACACATTCCCGAAGTGCCTGAGTCTCCATGGGAGACCCTTACCAGGGTAAAGCAAAATCTGCCACGCGTAATCAGGCAGCGAGTGACACGCCAGAAATTCAACGTCAAAGATGTGGCCACTGCGAGGCACTCGGATCGAATCGAGAAGAGTCAGGTGGATTGGGACTGGTAGGGGCAAGTAGAAGAACCGGAGAAGTAAATGTAGCGCCCAATGACAGTTTTGAGTCGAACGCATAAGCAGCGGCACGAATAGTGGACTCTGGAACACATAACACCGCAGGCCCGCCCGACGCGGGAACGCACTTCCCACTGAGGCAGACGGACGCGTCAAAGAATGAGCGACGCTACAGCGCGGCTAACGGCGCAGCACTAAAGAACCACGGGCACGGGGTGGTCGCGGGACGAAATGAAGCCAGTGCCCGCGCGAGCACGCCCACCCAATTCCCCGACGTAAGAACAATTTTGGGCTCAGCTCGCGAAGTGGTCGAGGCCGGCGACGACATCGCTGTGGGTGGAGAGGCCCACTTGCAAGAAGACCGCGATCCACGGGCGCAACGGGGCGTTTCGGCTCACCCTGCGAGCCCCGAAGGGTGAAGAGGCGAGGCCATTGCAACGGGCAAACAAGGCAAAGGACGCTAGGGAGACAGCGCACCCAGGGACCACTGCAAAAGTTACCATTATTTAGTCGACATCTTGCACGGCAACATGATCAGGATGCTATCAAATGGATACCTGAAAGGTCTCAAGGCTTGGCGCAAAGCACTGCCCGAGCACCGGTTGCAGCAACACGACCTTTGGGTCAGGACGGCCACACTGTTGCAGAGCGTTTTCCTGGACGACGTCGACGGTTACCCCAGACCCATGGTGCCAGCGCAGATACCCACGCGAATCTACGATTGGAACATCAACGATAACACGCAGGTCTACGTCTACAATGCCCGTGAGTTACAATGACAAAAGTGCGTGAACATGATGGCTACGCGTTTCGGCATGCTCTGGCCAGGAACCCACACAACTATCAGCACACACTGTCTCTATAGTCACAACACGATCTACAATCAGCCTGAAGACATCATCAGCGGACTGTAGGCGATGCGGTTCCTAATCAAAAAATCAGCCGAAGAATGTATTACAATCGCAGACGATCTCTACACTTACTATAACAAGTTTGACACTACGGCCAGAAATGCAGCTGGCTTCGATCGAGAAGTTGTGGAGACGCCCGTGCCAACCTGGCACCAAACAGAGCTCACCGCGCGCATATGTGACCGGGGGCAACGATAGGGGGGATAGCCATACGGGAGGATGCATCGACCCCCAATCGGCCCCAACGTGCACAGCAACGTGCGGATACACTATCGGGGGCCCAACGCCGATATATCGGCGATGTATCGCCGATTCCAGGTCGATGCATCCCCCCCTATGCCAGTCCCCCCCTATCGTTGCCCATCATGTGAACAGGAGAGGCTTCGCAAGAATAACACCAGGGCGGGTGACAACTGGGTGCGCCCCGATGCTCGTTACCGCGGCAGCAGGAATGAGGGGAAGGTCTTGTGGCAAGCACTACACCTGGTGGGCTTGTAACTAGAGCTGGGCGGTGGACCCGCAATCGGGCACCAAGTGCCAGGGGAGGTGCACCACGATGGGTCGGCCATGGGTAATACAACCTTGCGCCACCCTGATTCCATTTACTTGTGACCAGGAACATGTCCGCCGAGAAGTATTAAACTTGTGAGCGCGACGGGCAGTTGAGAGCCTGGGAGGACAGCGATGAGGAGGATGACGCCTGGAACGGTAACCGTTACATGTGGCATGAAGGCCATCACCGCATGATCGGTAGGCAACGACAGCGTGAGCGCGAACGTGTGGCATCCACCATGAGAAGAGGCAAGCGCCCAAGCCCATCCCAAGGGTGGGCCGCGAATGGAACCTGAGTGGCAAAACAGCCGTCAACCTGATCTTATAATTCCCCCTGACCTGTTGTACAAGTAACCGAGGAGCCTTGGTACAGCATGATAGTATTGCCCTGTGCAGCTGTGACAAGTAAACCAAGTTACCGCTCGCGCTGCTAAGTTGCATTTGGTTCACGCAATACGTGCGCATTCAGCCGTTGATGTGCGCATGCTGATCTGCATGATAGCCACGTTTCCTGTCATTTCCCTTGATGCAGCTTGTGTGCTTTTGGCTCTGCTCCAGTTTGCATTTGTAGCTTGCAGATTAACATAGGGTTGCGAGTGGTCTACCCGTCCTGGGTCATTAGGTCGAGGGTGGTGCTTCACTACAGCGCCTCGGATCACCGTGCAACCTATGACGCTTCACTCATGTATCTATAACTGCCGAACGGCGGCGCAGGGCATACTCACGCGAACTTGTTATGCTCGATCGTTTCAAACCAAAGCCCTATCCTCACTACCATCTTTCCGTTAGTTCTGCAGGAGGAGAGGAGACGAGAGGAGACGAGAGGAGAGGAGTTCAGAGGAGAGGAGTAAAGATGAAAGGCGAGGAGGGGTGAAGAGACGAAACGAGAGGAGACGAAAGGAGAGGAAAGGAAGGAGGAGGAGGAAGCCGCGATCGCAGAGGGGTGGCCTGCCGCGACAGGTTGCCAGGAAGGGGGGTCTCTCGCTTCGGCCGCGAAGCGGCCCGGAGGCCAACACGAACGTCCAGAACCAGTACAACGTCCGCGTCCTAAAG